ATTGAAGAAAGAAAAAGAATGCAAACAGATGTTTGGAGGAGAGTTTGCTTTACTTGGTTATCACTCCAAGGTGTAGAAATCTTGGCGTGCAAGCTGCTAAATACAGTATGGTACCCGGAGAGAGCTTGGGGATATATTATGCTAATATCAACTATCAAGCCTAGCAATTTTTGACCCAGTTATCATTTTATACTGTGGTGCAGAATAAACTCTATTTATAAAGCTAAAATAACCTAGACTTTGATAGGCTAATTAAAACAAGTTGGAGCAGCATAATATTTAAAAACTCTGTTGACTCAACAACCCCATCATATATAAACCAAACAAGTGCAACAAATTGAGATATGTCACAAGGCAAAACATGGAAGCAACTTTGCTGCTCTCTATATGTTTACTAGTACTAACTCTGTAATTTGTTTGTTTGAGACGAAGAAAACTCAATCTCCCGCCAAGCCCCCTACTTAAACTTCCAATTATAGGGCATCTTTATCTCCTAAAACCTCCTCTATATCGCACTCTTGCTAAGCTCTCAACAAAATATGGCCCGGTTTTCTCTCCTCAATTAGGTACCCGTCTTGTTGTGGCAGTTTCCTCGGCATCTGCTGCCGAAGAATGTTTCACCAAAAATGATATCGTTTTTGCCAATTGCCCTCGTTTAACTATTAGCAAATACATAGGTTATAACTGATGAGATTCAACAATGGTGAAACAAGGTTATGGAATCACTGATGAACTAGAGAGAAAACTGTAACTTTTATTCATGAAAAGTAAATGTCTCTTTACACAATATTGGCACTATGCTATTTATAGTGTGTCTACTCATAACCTCCTAATCTAGTTAATCTAACTCAACCAGAGTTAACTTTAACTAACATTGTAACAAACTCTATAACTAACTTTCCAGTTTCACTATTCATAATAACTGACTTCTAGCTTCAACTTGTTTATAACATCCCTCCTCAAGCTGGTGGCTGATATATGTCTTTAAATCCCAACTTGGACATTAGATACAAGTGTGAAGCTTTCCATAGACCCTTTGTAAGTAAGTCTGCTAGCTGCTCTTTTGTGGATACATGGTGAGTTTTTATCATTCCGTTAAGCAGCTTCTCTCTAACAAAATAACAGTCAATATCAAAGTGTTTAGTTCTCTCGTGAAAAATAAGATTGGATGCAATTTGTATTGCAGCCTTGCTGACACAAAATAGATCAACTGGCTGCTTAATTTTCACTCCTAGTTCACTATATAAGCCAATGAGCCAAGTAATCTCAGCTACTGAAGATGCCATACTTCTAAACTCTGCTTCTGCAGAACTTCTTGCTACAGTCTCTTGTTTCTTTGACTTCCAGGATACAAGAGCGTCACCAAACCTCACTAAGTATCCAGTAACTGACCTCCTTGTTTGCAAACAGGTACCCCAGTCTGAGTCACAATAGACTGTTAACAACTCTGAACTCTGTGAAGGCATGAACAGGCCCAATCCAGGTGATGACTTTATATACTTGACTACCCTTAGTGCAGCTTCCATGTGGGATTCTTTAGGAGCATGCATATACTGACTTAACACTTGTACTGCAAACGAAATATCCACCCTGGTCATTGTTAGGTATAGTAATCTACCTACAAGTCTTTGATATCTGCCAATATCTAGCAAAGGTTTGTCCTTAGCTGTAGTATCTGTATCTTGTACATGTGAATCATACTCAATAGATGTTAATCGTATATTAGGATCCAGTGGTGTATGGACTGGTTTGGCACCACTTAATCCCATTTCTGAGATAAGTTCCAAAGCATACTTGCGCTGGCTCATGATATATCCCTCCTTAGTTCTGGCAAATTCAATTCCAAGAAAGAACTTCAATTCTCCTAGATCCTTTGAGATTCAACAATGGTGAAACAAGGTTATGGAATCACTGATGAACTAGAGAGAAAACTGTAACTTTTATTCATGAAAAGTGAATGTATCTGTACACAATATTGGCACTATGCTATTTATAGTGTGTCTACTCATAACCTCCTAATCTAGTTAATCTAACTCAACCAGAGTTAACTTTAACTAACATTGTAACAAACTCTATAACTAACTTTCCAGTTTCACTATTCATAATAACTGACTTCTAGCTTCAACTTGTTTATAACATCCCTCCTCAAGCTGGTGGCTGATATATGTCTTTAAATCCCAACTTGGACATTAGATACAAGTGTGAAGCTTTCCATAGACCCTTTGTAAGTAAGTCTGCTAGCTGCTCTTTTGTGGATACATGGTGAGTTTTTATCATTCCGTTAAGCAGCTTCTCTCTAACAAAATAACAGTCAATATCAAAGTGTTTAGTTCTCTCGTGAAAAATAAGATTGGATGCAATTTGTATTGCAGCCTTGCTGACACAAAATAGATCAACTGGCTGCTTAATTTTCACTCCTAGTTCACTATATAAGCCAATGAGCCAAGTAATCTCAGCTACTGAAGATGCCATACTTCTAAACTCTGCTTCTGCAGAACTTCTTGCTACAGTCTCTTGTTTCTTTGACTTCCAGGATACAAGAGCGTCACCAAACCTCACTAAGTATCCAGTAACTGACCTCTTTGTTTGCAAACAGGTACCCCAGTCTGAGTCACAGTAGACTGTTAACAACTCTGAACTCTGTGAAGGCATGAACAGGCCCAATCCAGGTGATGACTTTATATACTTGACTACCCTTAGTGCAGCTTCCATGTGGGATTCTTTAGGAGCATGCATATACTGACTTAACACTTGTACTGCAAACGAAATATCCACTCTGGTCATTGTTAGGTATAGTAATCTACCTACAAGTCTTTGATATCTGCCAATATCTAGCAAAGGTTTGTCCTTAGCTGTAGTATCTGTATCTTGTACATGTGAATCATACTCAATAGATGTTAATCGTATATTAGGATCCAGTGGTGTATGGACTGGTTTAGCACCACTTAATCCTATTTCTGAGATAAGTTCCAAAGCATATTTGCGCTGGCTCATGATATATCCCTCCTTAGTTCTGGCAAATTCAATACCAAGAAAGAACTTCAATTCTCCTATATCCTTCATCTTGAACCTGAGTTTAAGATCATTTCTGGTCTTAACTATCAACTTGCTGCAGCTCCCAGCCACTAACAGATCATCTACATATACAAGGACCACTATTAACTCATTTCCCTCTCTTCTAGTGAATAGGGAATAATCATAGTGACTCTGAATAAATCCCAGTTATAGTAATGTTTCAGTCAATTTAAGGTTCCATTGTCTAGGTGCCTGTTTCAATCCATAAAGTGACTTATGCAATTTGCAGACTTTGCCAGACTCCCCCTGTTTGCAAAAACCATGAGGAATAACCATATAAACATCCTCAATAAGATCACCTTGAAGAAAGGCATTGTGGACATCCATTTGGAAAACAGGCCATTGCTTAGCAGCTGCTATAGCCAGAACAGACCTCACTGTAACCATCTTGGCTACAGGGGAAAAAGTATCGGAGTAGTCCAACCCTTCCTGCTGGTGAAAACCCTTAGCAACTAACCTGGCCTTGTACCGCTCAATAGCCCCTGAAGCCAATTACTTCACTTTATAAACCCACTTGCATCCAATGAGATGTTTGCCTGGAGGTAAATCAGTGATACTCCATGTAGTGTTCTCTTCTAAAGCAGTGATCTCAACAAGCATAACTTGAACCCATAAAAGATCAAGAGAAGCTTCATGAAAGGACGTAGGTTCTGAAATACTAGAATAGGCTGCTAAGGCAGCACCATACTTAGCAGACAGACAATGATAGCTGACATGATTGGATAAAGGGTAGAGACAAGAGGATTTGGGTTTGGAAAGAAGAAAGTCATGATGCCAGATAGGAGGTCTAGATGGTCTAGAGGATCTTCTGAGAGATAGGGTGGTATAAGGTAGAACAACTGTAGGAACAACCTCAGAAGAAGTAGAACTAGGAGACACTGGGTGTGATGGACAATCAGGAGAAGAAGCAAGAGGTGTATGTGATGAACAATCAGGAGGAGCAGCTGTAGGTGGATACTCAACTGGAGAAGAAGAATTAATAGAAGTTGAAGTAAGCTGAACAATTGGAAACAATGGAGAGCAAGCTGAGGTGTTGTGCTGGAAAGAAAAAACTTCCTCGTGGAAGACTACATCCCTGCTGACTAAGAACTCTTTAGTGTGCAAGGAGAAGAGTTTGTAACCCTTTTAGAGAGTAGAGTAACCAAGAAAAACAGTAGGAAATGCTCTAGGTGCAAATTTGTCAGTTTTCCTCACTTCAGAAGCAAAAGCCAGACAACCAAAGACTCTGAGTGAGAGAAGGAGAGGTGTGATACAATAAGTCATAATGAGTCTTTCCCTGAAGGACAGCAGAAGGTAACATGTTGATTAAGTAGACACTAGTGGTAACACACTCACCCCAGAACCTAAGAGGCATATGAGACTGAAACCTTAATGACATAGCAACATCAAGGATATGTCTATGTTTCCTCTCTACAACACCATTTTGTTGAGGTGTGTAGATGCAGGAACTTTGGTGCAGGATGCCGAGGGATTGGAGTAACTCATTCATTTGTGAATTAAAGAATTCACACCCATTGTCAGACCTCAGAATCTTTACTGATGCACTAAACACATTGCCAATCATTAACAAGAACTTTCTTAAGGCTACTATGACCTTAGATTTAGAGTTCAGTAATATCAACCATGTGTATCTGGAGTAATCATCAACCAAAGTTAAAAAATACCTTTTACCATCATGAGTTGGAACTCTATAAGGACCCCAAACATCAGTATGTAATGTGTGAAAACAAGTAGTAGTAGTAGTATTACTCAAAGGGAAAAACAGTCTAGATTGTTTAGCCAAATGGCACACAGTACAAAGATCATCTGTAGTAGAATGAAGATGTTTGAAACAACCTAACTTTTTTAGAGTAGTAAAAGGTACATGACCAAGTCTTTTATGCCATACTGACAAATTTTATTCTAGAAGGACATGCGAAAAGCTACAGAACAAGACGTAAAGACTGGAGTGACTTGATCATGATGTGAGACTGCATGTAGTTGAGATCCTTATGACTGCAACTGACAGTCAGTAGTGAGCACATACATGTCATTCTCCAACTTGCCAATCCCCCTCACTCTCCCATTGAAGAGGTCCTAAAAAATGCAAAAGTCAGGGTTGAACAGAACAGTACAGTTCAATTCCTTTGTGAGTTTAGACACAGAAAGTAAGTTATACTGAAACTTAGGAATATGCAGGACATTCGTAATCTCAATTCCTCCTAGAATTTGAGATGATCCAATGTGACTGACTGTGGCAAGTTTACCAGTAGGTAGATACACTCTTCCCTCTTGTGAAGGAGTTAATGGTTTGTAATGAGATAACATGTGCAGATTACGAACCATGTGTTTGGAGGCACCAGAATCAACTATCCACTTATCAGTAGAGGATATACATGTGGTTCTCAGAGTTGAATCTGTGTCATTACATATCCTCTTCTTACCCTTCCAGTCAGAGGGATATACATGAAGCTTATAGCAACGATCTTTTGTATGGCCTTTCCAGTTACAATAATCACAGTACAGGTGACTATTGGAGTTGTTCTTAGATCTGAAGTTGGAGACACCAGCACTTGATCCACTGGAACTAGAGAAGTTGTGATTTGGATTGTTGCCACTGAAGAATGCTAGAGCTTCATTCATGTGCCTAGTGTTAGAGGAAGCATCACCAACAGAAGCTGAATTAGCCTTGCCAAGTATCCTCTGACTTTCTTCTGCAATCACTAGAGAATAAGCCTTGTTAACACTTGGAGCTGGATCTATCATCATAATCTGGCTCCTACACTGGTTGTAGGATTCATTCAAACCCAGAAGAAATTGCATTAAACGTTGGTGTTACGACTTGATTTCGAAAACTAAGGTTTCGGAACCAATTTCGCAATTTTTGGCAATTTTTGTTAAGTTTTGGAAAAATTTATAATTTGGAAGTCGCCACTTATTTTTTTAGGAAAAATTAAGAAAACCGTTTAAAGAGAATTTTTTTTTGAAAGGAAATATTTTAAATAAAACCAGAGTCAGGTAAGGGTTCAAATAATTCTCTAAGGAAGGGGTTAGGCATTTTAGAGAATCCGCTAACACGCGGTTGACCGACAGATTTAAAAGTTTGGCTAATTTTAAATGAAAACTTAAATTACTCATAAAAAATCTTTGTGAGAATAAATAGAGACTAATTTATACTTAACAAATAATGAAATATATAAAAAAAAAATGGTTAAAGTGTCGAAAATGTTTTTAACTTGATAATTTATCCGAGTTAAAGATTTTAAACCAAAGAGTTAGTTCAAATTCATTAACGTGGATTCAAAGCTTCTTAATAACTATGAAAGAACATGAATGGTTCTTAAGTTATTCTTTAAGCTTAAGTTGCCTAAGAACAAACTGTGTTGATAAATAATTAGGCAAACCAACCTTTCGAAATGAAAATTAATAAGTAACGCCGACTCTTGTGAGGATTCATCCAAGGTAATAAGAAGTTAATAAAAAGGGTTAGACATCATAATAACAAGGAAAGCAAGCAAGTAATACAAAGAAAGGTCTGGACTTTTGGTCCAAATTCGGCCGCTGCCTCATTTTCTTCTCTGTTGCATCTATGTTTTCGGACTTTTGAGTCCATAAATTCTTCTTTGTATCGCTGCTGTTGCAAGTTCAAATTGGACTTTTTAAGTCCAAAATTCCACCTTCTTAGCCCCTTTAGCTGCTGCTTCTGATTTTTGGGTTTTAACCCAATTTCGCTCCTCATTTTTCGGCCTTTCTAAGCTGCTGGTGCTGCTGATTTTCAGGCAGCTTTAACCCAATGTATTTACTTCTCTCTCAACTTGATAGAGGTTGACTCGAAAAGAAGAATATGCAAGAGATGGGGAGTCCAAGTGGACTCAATGGAAGAGAATTCATGCGAAGAAAACGAAGAAAAAGAATTAGTAATTGATCAAGAAGAGGGCTGATTCTAATTTGACATATAAACGAAACTCAAGCAACATTTAATAATGCAACTTAAATCTGCCCAATAAAAGAAAGAAACAACCAGGGACAAAGAGTGCAACTTTCCATCGTAAAGCAATTCCTCATATGCAAAACAGAAGTCACCGTAATCACAATTGAATGTAAGCAAAAATTTGGTCAACAGCTAAGTGGAACAAATACACATTCATAAGCTTCCTAAAAAAATCAGAAATAACAACAAATAGATTTAAAAAAAAAAGAACAGTCAATTATAATAGCAACTAATCTCCTGGAAATAGATTTGGACATCAAAATGAGTAAGAGAAACTTAAAACTAACTAAAGGCCAAAGAGCTGCAGGTTAGATCAACTTAACAGACCAAACACTAAGCTAGTTATGCATATAAGTGCACCAGAAATAAAATAAAATAAAAATAAAAAATAATCCTCAGAGTATAAACAAATCGGCTAATTAATCTACTGTACAATGAGTATTACAGACAATTAGCAATGCAAACCAAAGGATCCCAACAACTTCCAAATTCCAAGAAGCAAACAAACAATGGAATACTATCTAAACCTAAACAAAACGAGGCGCAAAAGAAACTAAGGCATGCTGGAAAATTACGATGCATAAATCACCATATAATAAAATTGGCGATATTCGAAATTACGAGAGACAAACCGAAAAAATGCAAAACCCGAAAATAGCATACTCATCCGCTGTCCAAACTAGGATAAAAATTACGCAAAACTAAACATGAATTCTAAACTAAAACTAACTTACTATTACCATTAGCAACATACACTTTGAAAACCTCAAAAGAAAAGATGGAGAATGTCATCTTCATGTCGATTAAACACAGACTTAAAGAGAAGAACATTTAAAGTAAATGGGCAGCCAACTCATGCTAGTAGGAAGCTCCCTTTTACGCTCATGGCCAAACCGATTGAATTAACTAGGATGAACAAAAGAATCCAAGCAGAACGTAGTCATCAAATACTACTAAACGAGTGTAACATCTTCATACTACGAGGTTATCCCAAAACAACCGAGCAATATTGAACTAAAATTACTGATCTATACTTGAAAATACACTAGAGAAATAACGAAGTGGCTTCTTTGACACTTCAGAACATATACTCAAAACAAGAAAAAATTATTCCAGCAAGCAGACACAGAACATAATCATGGCGGTTAACAAATGAACAAACCAAGCTTAAGGCGAGCACAACCACGATCTCAAGAAGACTAAGAAACAGCGACAACAAATTCAAACAGGTATTAAGACATTTTCGAAAGCGAAGCACACAATACCAGTTTCAGAAAGCTTAAGATGAAGAGAAAAACTCAGCTTGAGCATGTCATATCGGATCCCTCTTGAATCGACAAAGAACAAAACACGATTCAACACGTTCAAACTCGAGATGAACAAAATAGTTACTAAATGTTTACCTCTTGCTGAGCAGCGAATGGGACGGTGACGAGTTTCTGGGAATGCTTCCACCACGAAAATTTAACCACGAACAGCGAAATGAAGAACTTGGACAGAATATGAGCAGTTCTCTATTCGGGAGTGTATTGCTACTTTTGCTCAAGTTATTCTCTATATTTTCGCTCAAAAACCCCCCCTTAACAATGATAAAAATGAGAGTTTATATAGAGGGGGAGCTAGGGTAGATTTGAGGGGGAAAAATGAGGGTAAAACTGGAATCCCTTTTTCGAAATTTGAACTTCCTCCCTAAGAACAGAAAAATTGCTCCTTGATGTGCGACAACACCAATTTTTCAACAAACTCCAACGGCTAAACAACAAGGGTCGTTCGATCTTGAGGTGAGGACAAAGGGACGAGGAGATAATTCCACCTGGCTGCGAAGGATGAAGCTGCCTGCTGGAATCGGCGCTGGAACAGTACTACGCGTACTGTTTGTCGGGGAAAAGAGGAAGACGACGAGAAAATGCAGCGTACCGTTGTACGCGTACTGCCGCCGCTGCTTTCCGTGTATAGCCGTGAGTTACTCCTGTGATTTTTGACTCTGTTAGCTGCTATTGTCGTTGGAATTGGACGTCGGTACTATGTACCGCTATTGAGCGTTCTGGGTCTTCTTTTGAGCAAGGATTTGGGCCGGGTTTGGGTCAAAGGAATGAAAAAATGGTGGGCTGGAAATTGGAGGCTGAATGCATGAGATTTGGGCCAGTATTTGGCTGAAAATTAATCCAATAAGCGGAGCAAAAAATATTGGTCAAATTTGAATTCGAAAAGTAACCAAACGGATTACAAATTTGGCCAAGTGAAATTAAGAATTTAGCCAGAATTGCATGTCATTGGCGAATTAGGCTAAGAATTGAATAAGATAAATTAATTAACGAGCTTCTTAATTTTAACGAAATAAAATAAATTAACTTAATTGTAAAATAATGATTCAAAATTATAACCATAATTTTAACTAAACTAATTTAACAAAATACTTACTAAAATTAAAATCTTTTTGAGATGATTTTCAAATGTTTATAAAGTATTCTTAATTATATACGCAATTATATAAAATCTATTTACTACTTAAAATGCTATAAAAATGGCTAAAATAACTTTTAATTTTTTTTTGATTTTTTATAAATTAATTATTTCAAATCGTTTGAAATTAAAGAAACTCCAAAGTTAATTCCTATCATGGAGGGTCAAAATTGGATGTCAACAGTTGGTACTCAAAATGAACAGCATATGTCTGTGATACATCACAGGCACAACCAGGACACGGCATGAGTGAATCATATTCCATCCACAACTCTTTAAGCTTGGAGAAATAGACTGAAACTGATGAGACTCCTTGATTGAGTGTAGCAATTTCCTTGTGCAAGTAGAATATACGAGAGCCATCCACTTTGTCAAATCTCTCTTTGAGATCTGTCCATACTTGTTGAGCATTACTAGCATAGACAATTCCACTAAGAAGCTCTCGACTAATAGAGATCATGATCCATGAGAGAACAACGGCATTACATTTTTCCCACAAAGCATGTAGAGAAGCAGGAAACTTATCCTTTGAGCTAGCACCATCAACAAAACCTATTTTTCCTTTTCCTAGCAAACCTATCTTCATTGATCTACTCCACAGAGAATAATTCTCAGATCCAGTAAGTTGTAAAGAGACAAGAGAGCTATCTGGAGTGTCACATGCTTGCAGGTGCAGCGGATGATGAGAATCAATTGGAAACTCTCTTCCTACAGCTGTAGGAATGGTAGAATCAGAGTTTGACATTCACCGATCGCCATTGATGACTACACAACAGCGTAAACAATATAGATTCAACTACTTCTCAAACAATGCAACTCCTTTTGAGAAAGCTGTCGGAAAAAAAATGCAGAGATAATCAGTAGATCATTGATGGCTTTGATACCATGATGAGATTCAACAATGGTGAAACAAGGTTATGGAATCACTGATGAACTAGAGAGAAAACTGTAAGTTTTATTCATGAAAAGTAAATGTCTCTTTACACAATATTGGCACTATGCTATTTATAGTGTGTCTACTCATAACCTCCTAATCTAGTTAATCTAACTCAACCAGAGTTAACTTTAACTAACATTGTAACAAACTCTATAACTAACTTTCCAATTTCACTATTCATAATAACTGACTTCTAGCTTCAACTTGTTTATAACAATAACTATACTACTGTTGGTGATTCCCCTTATGGTGATCACTGGCGTAACCTTCGTCGCCTCTGTGCACTTGAAATTTTCTCCAATAATCGTCTCAACAATTTTCAGCCCATTCGACAACATGAATTCAATAATCTTGTTCACAGAGTGTTTCATAACTCTGGCGACAATTTTGGGACTCCTGTTGACCTTAAGTCCAAGCTTTTTCAGATGTCATACAATATCATCATGAGAATGGTAGCTGGAAAGAGATATTATGGTGAAGAGGAAGACAACGAGCTAGGAGGCAAATCATTTTCATTATCCAATTATGTACTATATATATTTTGGACCAATGAATTGAAAAGTCTATATTGGGTCAGCAACCTCATGAGATAAATTTCGTTATCCAATTATGTACTATATATATTTTGGACCAAGGAATTGAAAGGTCTATATTGGTTCAGCAACCTCATGAGATATAAACCAAGCAAGTGAAACAAGTTGAGATATGTCCAAGGCAAAAAAATGGAAGCAACTTTGCTGCTCCCTATTTGCTTACTAGTACTAGTTCTAAAACATGTCTTGTCAAGACGAAGAAAACTCAATCTCCCACCAAGTTCATTACTTAAACTTCCAATTATAGGCCATCTCTATCTCCTAAAACCTCCTCTACATCGAACCCTGGCTAACCTCTCAACTAAATATGGCCCTGTTTTCTCCTTCAATTTGGTACCCGTTTTGTTGTGGTGGTTTCCTCCTCATCTACTGTCGAAGAATGCTTCACCATAAACGATGTCGTTTTCGCTAATCGCCCTCGTTTAATGATTGGAAAATACATAGGTTATAACTATACTACTGTCGCGGGTTCCCCTTATGGTGGTCACTGGCGCAACCTTCGCAGCATCTGCGGACTCGAAATTTTATGCACAAATTGTCTCAACAATTTTCAGCCCATTAGACAACATGAAATCAAGGTTCTAGCTCATAGAGTGTTTCACAAGTCTGGTGACAGTCCTTTTGAACTTAAGTCCAAGTTATTTCAGATGTCGTACAATATTATCATGAGAATGGTAGCTGGAAAGAGATATTACGGTGAAGAGGTAGATAGCGAGGAGGCACATCATTTTCGGAAGCTTATGGAAGAGGTTAATTCATATGGAGGTGCATCAAATCCCGCGGATTTCGTGCCTGCAATATTTCTGTTGTTTTCCAGGAGCACGGAGAACAAATTAGCCAAGCTTAGTAAAAAGATGGACGCTCTCTTGCAAGGTTTGGTTGATGAACATCGTCGCGATAAAAGCTGGAATACTATGATTGATCATTTGCTTTCTTTGCAAGAATCAGAACCAGAGTATTACACTGATCAGATCATCAAAGGGATTGTTTTGGTAAGCTTCCTTCTAGACTCTATGTTAATTGAGAATCTGTGTCACTTAAAAGGCCCCATCTTCTCTCTCTATATCGTTTCTGTGCCTCATCTATGCTCTCTTTCACACTTCCTTTCTTACTGCTTACTGTTCTTAAATCTTTGTGCTACCTTCAATTGCAGAAATATAACAATCAATTCCCAGTAGTTTCCGCATTACTTCTCCAACCCCACTGGACCCGGCTCCTCTCCATTTCCCACAATGGGGCCTTGAATTTCTTATACGTGTCCCTCGTACAATCTAAGGGATAATATTTATTTAGTTAACCTGAGTTGAAGCTTTTAGTTAACCAAAACTAAATAAATATTGCCCCATAGATTGTACAAGGGTCTGGGATAAGAAATTCAAGACCCTGCCGTGGGAAATTGAGAGATTAACCACCGGAGAGGACCCGGGTCCAGAGTGGGGTTGGAGAAGTAATGCAAGAGAAGCAGGACACAACTGGTATTTTTTCTCTCTAAACTCTATATATGAAGAGGAAAAAGTAGAGATGACCATCTGCATTTACACTCTAAACTTCACTATTTCACTTTTCTATATTTTATTATTAGTTATATTATATATCATTTGTAATTAAACATAGTATAAATTATATACCATTAATGAAGTCTCTAATTATTTTCTAATGTAATATCTTTATTATATTAATTTTAAATTTATACCTTTAGTTTCCGTAAAAATATTTTTTATTTAAGATATAAGTTAGTTTTATTATAATTTATAATTGTATTAAACAAATAAATGAAAAGCACATGTAAAACGAGTAATTAAATTAAAAACATTGAAAAATATACTATTTTCATCCCGAATTAACAATCTTTTTAACTTTAGAAAATATTTTAAATATTTATCACTTTAAATATGTAAATTAAAATTATAATTATGTTTCAGTTCTTACAAAATTTAAAATAAGTGAAACAATCTACTTTTATTATAGTGATAAATTATTCAATCACACTATTTGATGAGCATAAGATCAAATAGATGATGCAATTAATAGTTAAAAATGGAATAGGGAAAGAAACACTTTGATACATGATATTGTTAAAAATACAATACAAGATACTTACTTGAGAAGTTTGGACTCCAAATCCAACGGCAGAAATGGTGGTAGATGTTTCTCATTGGGTAATAACTGCAGATCATGCTAAATGCGGGAACGGATACATCATCGGCGACAACAGAGTGGGCAATGTCTCTTCTACTTAACCATCCAGAGGTGTTGGAGAAGGCTAGAGCTGAAATAGACAACCATGTGGGTAAGGATCGTTTAGTTGATGAAGCGGATTTACCCAAGCTGAAGTACCTTCAAAGTATCATCTCCGAGACACTCCGATTGTTCCCAGCAGCACCAATGCTATTGCCTCATGAATCATCTGAGATTGCAAGGTCGCTGGCTTCCACATTCCACGAGGCACGATGCTATTGGTGAATGCTTGGGCCATTCATAGGGATCCGTTACTTTGGGAGGATCCGGATAGCTTCAAGCCAGAAAGGTTTGAAGGTGTGGAAGTGGAATCATGGAAGTTGTTGCCATTTGGAATGGGAAGGAGAGCATGCCCTGGCTCCGGACTTGCTCAACGTGTGGTTGGTTTAGCTTTAGGAACTTTAGTGCAGTGTTTTGAATGGAAAAGGGTAAGCGATGAGAGGGTCGATTTGACAGAAGGAAAAGGTCTCACTATGCTAAAAGCTGAGCCACTCATGGCTAGATGCAAAGCTCGTGAAATTGTTCACAAACTTCTTTCAGAAATATCCTGATCGTGTCTTTCTTGCATGTTGTTAGTTTAGAAAGGTTTGAACAAGTAATAAATCATTGTCTCATATGCTATGCACTACCTGAGTTTCTAATTTGTCATTCAGATACTTTGGAATAATATACATATGAGGTGCTACTTCATTTGAATGGTGAAATCATAGGCCGTGGACTACAGATTTGATGATTTTAATTGGAATTATCATCTTGAAACGACGCAACAACATAAATATGAAAGATTACTAAAATGTCAACAGATATTAATTCAGAACCCATGCATAATTTTCAATGAACAATGGATCAGTGGTCATTTCGCGGTTGAACCCATGCATCAATTTAAATCCTCCTGGCGTAAAAGTATAGTAGAAACAAGGCTATAAGCCTTTGGACTCGGTTACAACTCCAAATTGCAGTAAGTAATTTGAATTTTTGTAAAGAAGACATCATTTCTTCTCAGGAACTGCTCAAATTTCATATATCTAAACTTGCTGGTGTCCTCACGCACGGTGGAACCTGTTTCCATGCTTCACGGAGAAGCTTGTATCTAACAACATTCCTTGCAGGTTTCGCTAAATTCGGATAATCCTTGAAGCTATCAGCAAGGAACGAAGTAAACGATGAGTCTAGTTCATCAAGCTCAGCACAGATGATCCAGTACTTTTTAGAACTTGATTTCCAACCTTCTCCATGAAAGTGGTGAGAGACAATGCTGGAGGAGGTGTATACAGTGGAAGCTCTTTTTAAAAAAGGGAAAAAATTGTTGCAAAAAAATTTGAACACGCGAGCACCGACTCATTAAAGATATCTAAACACATATTCAAGACACCTTAAATCACTAAGGCTATAACAACCTATTATGTTAAGGGTGTCCAAAATATCTAATTTAATCACTTTGTGTATTATTTTACTTTTATATGCGGTATTTTTTTCCGACGAATTGGACACCCTCTCATACATGTGCCTACACCCCTGGGTGTATAGGCCGTCCAGGTTGCAGTACACGGGAAGCTAGTGTGATGCTCTCCAGATACATCATTATTCAGGGAAAAACGAGTATGTAAGAAAGGGTAAATTGCAACTAATCTTTATGGTTGATCAGTAGCAAGCGGACCCAGAATTGTTATTATTATAGTAGAACGTGAACACATAACTTTGAAATTTTCATAAGACCTTAACCACTAGTGACTAGACTAAACCTTTAACTTGTATCAAAAGGTGTCAATATTTGTATATATATTATTAAACTAAAATTTAACCTATATATACGACCAAGGGGTGTCGCTTGACACCCCTCGGCTAAGGGTGGATCCTCCTGTCAGGATGATAAATATGCTGGAAATAAACAAATGTTAGGGATATTAACCCATAAAATACGCTGGCACATATCTTCTATTTTTAATACGCTTGGCATAGATATAAATATTTGTAGGATTTATTGTGTAACTACAATTAATCCATTACTATGATATATTGTGAAAAGAGGACTAGAAGGATGATGTTTACAAAAGAATCTCTTAATAAAATTTATTGATTATTATTTATTTTTAGGTGAGGAAAATATGTAGTTTGATAAATATTTTTTAAGAATTCGTGATTTTTAATTGTTTGAAAGTTAAAACCTTATAGTTAGCTTACATCTCATATATTAGCTTTACCATTATTGCAATATTTTTTACATCTAAAATATGCTAGATATTCTGTTTTCTATGAATTTCTTTAATTCTTTTCAATTTTCTTAAAATTTTAATATATTTTCTACATATTTTGTATTATTATGCTATTATATTATAAATTTAAAATTTAAAAATATAGGTGCATCATGGCTTACGTTGCTTTTCTTGGTTATCACTCGATTGGTTCTAGAAGGTGTAGATATCTTGGCATACAAGGCCAGAGAGTCCTGGGGATTATGTTAATACTCTTTTCGTTCATTTTTACTAGTCAAATATTTTCTAATTTGATTTTATTTTTACATTTCATTTTTGACAAAACAAAAAAAAATACATATATTTCTTCCTATTACACCCTCAACTTATTTCTATTGAGTTAACGTCAAGTAAAAAAATGGCAAGTAAATCTAAACAGAGGGAATAGTATCATGTATAGCAAACTTTTGACCCTTTGTTTTATCAAAGACAAATGTTTTTTTGAGTGGACCGATAAGTTGAAAAGTCTAGGTTAGCTCAACAACCCCATCATATATAAACCAATCCAGTGCAACAAGTTGAGATATGTTCTAAGGCAAATAATGGAAGCAACTTTGTTGTATGGTATTTCACTCTCTATTTTGTTTCTACTTTTACTTGTTAAACTTGTTTCATCAAAACGAAGAAAACTCAATCTACCACCAAGCCCACTATTTAAATTTCCAATACTAGGCCATCTCTATCTCCTTAAACCACCTCTATATCGCATTCTTGCTAATCTCTCAACTAAATATGGCCCTGTTTTCTCTCTTCAATTAGGTAGCCGTTTTGTTGTGGTAGTTTCCTCACCATCTGCTGCCGAAGAATGTTTCACCAAAAATGATATCGTTTTTGCTAATCGCCCTCGGACAATGATTGCAAAATTCGTAGGCTATAACTCTACTACTGTCGCTGGTTCTCCTTATGGTGATCACTGGCGCTACCTTCGCCGCCTCTACGCACTTGAAATATTCTCCACTAATCGTCTCAACAATTTTCAGTCCATTAGACAACATGAAATCAAACTTCTAGTTCACAGAGTGTTTCACAAATCTGGAGACAATTTTGTGACTCCTGTTGAGCTTAAGTCGAAGCTTTTTCAGATGTCGTATAATATTATCATGAGAATGGTAGCTGGAAAGAGATATTACGGTGAAGAGATAGATAACGAGGAGGCAAATCATTTTCGGGTGCTCATAGAAGAGGTTATATCATTTGGGGGTGCATCGAATCCCGCGGATTTCATGCCTGCAATATTTCTGTTGTTTTTCAGGAGCACGGAGAACAAATTAGCCAAGCTTGGTAAAAAGATGGACGCTCTCTTGCAAGGTTTGGTTGATGAACATCGTCGTGATAAAAGCAGGAATACTATGATTGATCATTTGCTTTCTTTGCAAGAATCAGAACCAGAGTATTATACTGATCAGATCATCAAAGGGATTGTTTTGGTAAGCTTAATTTTCTTCACTCCTGCTAGCTAGTAGGCGTTTGACCATACGATTTGGGACCCTAATTTCAAGTTTTAATTTGAAATCTGCACGAAATTTCAACTTCTCTTATTCATTAACAACTGCAGGTCATGCTGAATGCGGGTACTGAAACATCATCCGTGACAATAGAATGGGCGATGTCTCTTCTACTTAACCATCCAGAGGTGTTGGAAAAGGCCAGAAATGAAATCGACAACCATGTGGGTAAGGATCGTTTAATGGATGAAGCGGATTTACCCAAGCTGAAATACCTTCAAAGTATTATCTCCGAGACACTACGATTGTTCCCAGCAGCACCATTGCTAGTGCCTCATGAATCATCTGATGATTGCAAGGTCGCTGGCTTCCACATTCCACGGGGCACGATGCTATTGGTGAATGCTTGGTCCATCCACAGGGACCCTTTACTTTGGGAGGATCCAGAGAGCTTCAAGCCAGAAAGGTTTGATGGTGTGGAAGTGGAATCATGGAAGCTATTGCCTTTTGGAATGGGAAGGAGAGCTTGCCCTGGCTCCGGACTTGCTCAACGTGTGGTTGGTTTAGCTTTAGGAACTATGATACAGTGTTTTGAGTGGAAGAGGGTAGGCGAAGAGGAGGTTGATTTGACGGAAGGAAAAGGTCTCACTATGCCAAAAGCTGAACCACTCATGGTTAGGTGCAAAGCTCGTGACATGGTTCACAAAGTTCTTTCGGAAACATCCTAATGTTTCCAGGGTCTTTCTTGCATGTTGTTAGTTAAGAAAGGTTTGAATAAGTCATGTATCATGTATCTTCATAGTCTCTTATACTATGCACTATCTGAGTTTCTGTTTTGTCATTCAGATACTTTGGAATAATATATATATGAGGTGCTATTTGCTCTTTAATGGTGAAAACATAGGCTGATGAACTACGGATTTAATGGATTCAATTGAAATCATCGCAAAAATATGCATATGAAAGACAAATGTCAACAGATATTAATTCAGAACCCATAATTTTAAATGTACAATAGATCAGTATTCAGTGGTAAGAACTTTCGCGGTTGAACCCATCAATTTAAATCCTTCTGGTGTACGAAATGGAAACAAGGCTAGAAACCTTGAGACTCAATTACAACTCCCATTTGCAGTAAGTACTTGCCATCTTCTGTAAATAAGACATCATTTCTTCTCAGGAACTGCTCAAATTTCATATATCTGAACTTGCAGGTGTCCTCACGGTGGAACCTGTTTCCATGCTTCACGGAGAAGCTGATATCTGACAACATTCCTTGCAGGTTTTGCTAAATTTGGATAATCCTTGAAGCTATCAGCAAGGAACGAAGTAAACGGTGAGTCTAGCTCATCAAGCTCAACATCACTGGTGTATGTTTTTTTAAGCACAGATGAACCAGTACTCTTTGGAACTTGATTTCCAACCTTCTCTATAAAAGTGGTGAGAGACAATGCTGGAGGAGGTGTATAGGCCGTCCAGGTTGCAGTACACGGGAAGCTAGTGTGGTGCTCTCCTGGTACATCCTTCACATCATTAATCAGGAAAAATAGAGTACGTAAGAAAGGGTATGTGACATGATGATTAATGAGTTCCATAAAAAAGAGTAAATTGCAATTAAGTTTTATGGATGATAAATCTGCTTGAAATAAACAAATGAGAGGGAAAACTTACTTCAGAATCCAGGGTCTCAACAACATTTTTTGGAATTGGATTTGGACGGAACTCATCTGGGACAAAATTAGCAAGGACTCTTTTGATCAAAGCTGGACTAAATATTGGGCAGACCTAGCAACAGCAAGTTCACAAATAAGTATAGAGAAAATGGATTTCTAGATATTGATCTATAAAGGGGAACTAGGACTAACTTCTTTTCTTGTGGATGCATCGATGAGCACTTCAAATGGAAGCATCATGAGGTTGCTCAATGCATTAAGGAGTCGAAAAGCCTTGAATGATTCTGTTTTCTTGTCATTTCCAAAGATGTTACTATGCTCAGGTGAATCTTCATCTTCAAAGCCAATAAGATCTGTAAGCCATCTAGACCAGCTTCCGACCTATCAACAAACCAAAATGCTCATAATCACTAGATTATTACTCTCTTGAACCAAAAGTGATTCTCATTTCCCTTCTTAAGAGTTAAATCACGAGATCTTCGACATTTATACATATGAGAAAATTGAAATTCAAAATATTTTTCTGAAATTTAGTACAATGGATTCAAGAGAGCACGTTGTGTCACGACTCCCAAGTAACAAGAGAGTAAGGAGTTATAGGAAATAATTTAAGCATTGGAAATTACATAGATATGCACAACTACATTCTCACTTCTCATTAGAGTGATGTATATTATCAACAAATACTGGCCATTGTTATTAGCTTAACCTTGCGTAAATAATGGAAGTTGCCTCATAAATAAATATTTCAAGAATAATAAACGAGTATGAAACTAGTCATGCTTAAGCTAACTTTTTCTACTCACAGCATTTTTCAACTGTGCACCAGCTCCAAAGCTTGATTTTCCAGGAGGAATTGGAAGGACCTTACGATCACTTATAGGATCAAACATTGGATCTGTTGGCATTTCTTCGGTGGATTCACGAAGAATAGCATTGAACATTGCCACATCCAATCTACTCACCAACTGTTTCATTACCTAGAAACACAATGAATACATTTCACTGCAAGACATTGCTTGAGGAAAAAATAAAAGATGCTGGGAAATTGGTTAATATCTGGAACTACAAATCTCACACAGACGGAGTAGAAGTACTAGTAGAATGAAGTATAAACAGACATCTCACTCTAATGAATCAACTCACCAACTTTGGCAGAACAGGTAAGCAGCCACATTTATGTCCCAATGCTCGAAGTGGACAAAGCCTTTCACAGGCATCCTTCAGAGCCCTTTTCCAAAGTTTTACAGAAAATTTACCCTGCTCTTGATCACCCAAAGAATGTCTACTACCATATGTTTTCTTCACCCTTGAGGCCCTAGTCTTACTAGTTTTTGCAGTCCCAAACTGCATATGTGGAGTCAGAGTCTGCAGGCAAAAATAAGGCATTGCACCGTAAACAAAGTAGTACTTATTATGACAGAAAAGCACAGAGAAAATTTAGGTGACCAACCTGCCACCAAAGAGACTTGGTGATTTTGGAGAAGATCCAACCTTCAAGCTTTTCCAATGCTTGAGTGAATGATTCGATATCCTCCCAGTTATAATATTGCTTAACTAAATAATTCTTGTTCCCTTGGTTGGCAATGTATTTGATGCTTTGCTGCATATATATTTTCTCTAGCGCAGACTTACCTCTGTTGACAGTAGTTTCAGTAGGTGCCCCTTCATTAAATTGCAGTCCAGCAGCAGCCTGGCTGATGATTGCTCTTAACATAATGGAATTTGAGAGCCAGAAAGTCAACCTATTTGTGAAGAAAATAAATTAAAGAAATCGTGTAAAGCTTTTTACTTTATCCTTCAACATATTGACAAGATTTGTTGGTCGCTCCCTAAAAAATGAGTTCTAATGCAGATATGAGGTTGCTAAGTTGTTCTTTTTTCGGATCCACTATTCACTTAATTTAGATCAATGGAATATTGGTGCTTATAAATTAATTAGAAGCTGGCTAATTCGAAGTACCAAGAATCTTAAGTAGCTTATCAATCAATCACGTGAGTGTACCTTGGAACATCGCTTCCACATGCTTTAGAAACCAAAGCTAATCCTGAAACAGCAGCTCTAGCAGCACTTGCCTGTTTAGCAGGGGATTTTGTTCTCCAGGCGTGGAGATAAAATCTAGCAAGGCGCCTGGCTGGGGTGTGAACCTTGTTCATCGAACTTCCATGCTCAGCAACTACAGAATAAAGGCCAACTTCAATAGCTGCAGCTTCTTTCAGTTCTTCCTCAAGCATCTGAATTCTAGACTCCGGTTCAGGTTTACTCTTCGACAAAACATTTGCAGGAACTCTTTTTTCAGTAGCTGAAGTAGTATTGGTAGTATTCTTTGGTTCTTTTTTCTCCACAGTACTCTTTGGTTCCTTTTTCTCAGCAGTACTCTTTGGTTCTTTCTTCTCCACGGTATTCTTTAGTTCTTTTTTCTCCACTGCAGTACTTTTAGCAATACTAGTTTCTATGGGTGTCTGTTCTTTCATTTCATTCTTAATAATCTCAGTGTTGCCCAAAAACACATTTGGAGTCATAGAGTCTCTAATCTGAACAGACTTCACTGGCTTCAGTCGACCATTTGTGATCTGAACTCCAAGAGCTTTCCAACTCATCGTGACTTGTCTTTTTATAGATTTAGCTATTTTGTTTTCTGACAAGTCTCTTGTGTCATCATGGAGATGATCATCATGTCCAAATTCATGATCTGTTGTTTCATCCGCACTATTTTGACTGTCCATACCTGCCTGACTATGCATATGAGAAGATGTAATTTTCGATATCAATCTATCAATGTATTTTTCTTTGGCATGCTGAGTATTTTCTTCACTTTTGCTTGTTCCGCTGGCTGCCTCTTCATTAAGGTCACTCTGCAGTTAAGCTCATTCAAATGCTAAACAGAAAATAACACTACAATGGACAGGAAGCACAACTTTGTATACAATTAACCAGACATTCTCCTTGATTCTAGTGGTACTTAGGAACAGGAAAGCTGAAACTGGAGTTACATATCAAAATTCTAGAAGCATGATTTGAACTAGACTCGTACGATATCCCCAAGTTGCAGATGGTATATTTCGACCAGAATTATCTAGTAATTAGTAATAAAATACCTCAGAACATGCTTATTTTTTCAGATGAGGTTGAGAAAACTGAATAGTACTTGTTAACAAATTGAATAACTTAAAGTACCTTTTCAAGCCGAGATGGTGATGCCCGTGCAACCTTAGAAAGAGAAGCATCAATCAATAAAAGAAGCATAAGCAGAGTTATTCAGAATGATATGATTTGATTGAACTTTGAAATACCTTAACATTGTTAGATGGTGAACCCCAAGCAGCTTCAAAAACAGAAGAAGAAAAAGTTGAGGATGAATGTGAGGAAACATCATCATCAGTACAAGAAGCAAAATCAGAATCATATTCAGCATCATCAATCATCATGTCTGATTCTTGCTTATCTTTTGTTGGCTGTACCTTAACATACAAAGATGGTTGCAGCAAGCTTTTCGAACTCTTCTTGCAGTTTAAAGGAACACTAATAGCTAAAGTTTCTCTGATAATTCCATATTCTCCAAAATTAATCGAAGCTGTCCCCAATAGCGGACCTTGAGCTGCATTATCCTTTGTATACTCATACAAAGAGAAATCCAAGTTATTCTTTAGAAATTTATCTTTTGATTTTTTTTCGCGACATAATGTTAAGAATAGGGTGAAAGTCTTGTTGATTTCAAGATAGTCATCCTCAACAGAGGCAGTAACAAATCCAGAATTACGATCACCATTCTCCCACTGAAGTAATACAGATTGAACCGATCTCAAAGACTCTGATGGAGGCCAAGGCCTGATCAGCTGAATATTAACAATGTAATCAATTTGGAAAGAAGCACCTTTTTTCTTCTTCTTCTGTCCAAGTACCATGGCTTGATAATAACTCGCGATTCAACCAACCAGAGAAAACCAATGTGTTAGTAAACAACAAACTATAGAATCATCGACGAAAAACAGAAGAGAAGATTTTTACCCAAAAAAATTATATGCAGTGTGTTATGCTCTTTTGTTATGTCTTCCAGGCAGAGTTTGTGAAGACTTTAATGGTACAGTGAACTTGGTGTATTTTTATTTTTTTGGAGATTGTTTGTTGGGAGAATAATGAATATGGAGAAATAGAAAACGAAGATGAACAAGCAATTCGTGCGTCCAACTACATGAAAAGAGTCATTTATTTGGAGAGGCAGGAAAAACAAAAATGACTAAATAAATATAGGTGACTTGAGACTAATATGCCTAACGGCTTCTCCACCGGCCAATATTGAAGAAAATGATTATTATTAACGTCTTAGTTAATTTTGTGGTTTGCCACTAATATCGACTAATGCCTAACCATTAGCTAAATTTAATATTGGGTTTGTATATCATTTGTTTTTGTGCATTCATCTGATTATTAATTGTAACATTAGCACTTACCTTTTGAATAAGCTTAGTAAAAATATCATTTATAGTCAAGGTACAGGAGTTAATTTTATGCTATTGGTAAAAGGTGGATGAATTCATCCATTGCTGATCTAGCGGTGGTGTGTTAATAAGAGTGAAGACTGCTATCCTTGTGTAAATTTTAATGCTCTCTCTTTTACTTCCTTTCTCAATCCTAATTTTTATTACTTCGGCATAGTTCGCATCTTTAACTTTTGAGTTTAATTTTATGTCAATCAATGCTAGGTATTGAAATGTGCAGATTGTAGAAAACGAGCAACTGCTACAAATTAAATGACTGACGCCGTTTACTCTATCATCTTTATGAAAACAATGTTTGATGAAACAGGCCTGTCTGAATTTGCATCACCCAAGGAAACCTTGCTTCTGTTTCCTGCAGGATTTGGCATCCCCACAAACAGTTTCCTGTTTTTATTTTCGGTACCTACCTACCTCGTTTATCAACAACGTAACAATTCAAAAATTAGAGCCCAACTCCATTTTTATTACCATTAACATTTTTCCTGTTTAAAAAAACTTTCATACACAAGTCTATGAAAATCTTTCCAAAACTGAATTACAAAGACTTGTATCGTACTAAAGTACTTTCTACAGTTGCAATGCATAGCTAGTTCTAGTCTTCTAGATTAAGCAAAGTTTAGTATTAAGCAAAATGTAATGAATTTTTCGATAATAGGCAATAGCATCCGCAGTCAATGCAAGTTCAGTGGAACAGTTTAAGTGCATGCAATCTAGTCGGAACATATAAGTCATCTCAACTAATATGCGACTGAGACATGACTGATTGATGCATATAAATAAAAAATAAAATAGGGCAGAAACAGTAGCTTTTGTATGTTAAGCAAAATTACCAATTTCGAGCGTTTAATTAACCAACAAGATAAAGCACTATTTTATTAGCCAGCCACAAAAACATTCAGGGACGTCCTCGCCAACTAGAAATTAGTCCTAATAGTAGATACTATTAGAAATACTACTCAAATAACATACATAATTCCACGAGTGAAGTTTGAAAAGACCACACAAATTTAGACTATTTTCGATAGACCGTCAACTAAAGTAACAGTAAATAAGACAAAAAAAAAAGACAACAAAATAACAATAGGTACAAAATAAGGGTAGCACAATTATTACTACACATGGGAGAAAAAGAAACTAGGCAATACCTAACCTAAATTATATACTACTAAAAAGCACTCGACTACCCTCAATCACCATCTGTCATTTGTCTCTCCAATCAGTCAAGATTAAGAAACAAATTCAGGAAAACAGAACAAACCACCTTCACCATCTGATTGCTTTCTTGACTTTCGATCTAATCACTTTCGCTCCGGCTGGGTTTTGAGGAGGTGAATCCAACCTGATTAATAAATATGAAACTGAACACAAATTTATAGTGTAATAAAACATATGGAGAGTCAATAAACTTATTATAACAACACCTGATAATCATCACTGCTGGGAATCCAGTCGTTTGTCGCCGGATTAGTCTTGAATTCTTTCGCTCTACCATTCTCATGACCACCATTCAATTGAAGATTGTAAATGTTTCCATTCGTTTGATTGACCACCTTTATGAACCCACTTCCAGTCTGCCAAAAATTTAACATTAACTAACATAAACAATCTTCATATCTTGGATCCAGCCTATATTGAATATGGTTCAATTGAACCCAGAATTTCATAACTAATCATAAATTCAAAAGTAGTAAATTGTTTCGTGCGAAAGAGAAGAGTAGAGAACCGTGTGATGCTGTTTGTCAATGGAAACCAACTCATTGTAGTACTGAGTTGCCACAAACTCGTCTTGCTCCGAGCAATTAGTTTCCGATAAAATACTACCACCCTGATCAAAATCGAAAGGAGTGATCAGAAAGAGTAAAATAATATGTACCAGCAGGAAAAATTAGCAGAGTACCTGAGATTGAAGAGATCGGAGATTGTCAAGCTCTGGAATAGGGAAATCTTCTAAAGGGGAAATGGGGGTAACTGAATCAGGTTCACTGCGGTTAGGTTTGGCAAGTCTTTTAGGTGCTTGAGCATCGAACAGGGATTTGACCTGGTTGGCGATTCGCAGCTGCTCATCTTCGTCTAAAACTTCGTCGCTCCGGCTGGGTTTGGTCACCGTTAGATGCCGTTCCATGATATTGTCAGAGGTGTAAATGGTGTGGGTCGTCAACGCCTACTGATGTTAGTATATTCACGCATTCGCTAACAACATTCCAGATCCCAGTTCACAACAAAACCATGGGCGCATTCTACACTGTTGCCATTTGCCACGTCCCTCTGTCTCACCAAACTTCTTTTTTTTAAAAAAAAATTCCATGGTGTCCTGATTAAATTTGAATCGCGCTCCATTTGTGGGTAATATTTTCAATATAATTTTCTCTATATTTGATCCTCAAAGCCGATACTTCTAATTAAGGGTGAAATGGTCTACAATCCACCACAACTCATGTTGGTGTGCAACCAAACTATTAATGCTCTATGTTTGAAATAAAATGATAAAAAGGTCAATTGATTTTTTGAAGAAGTGTACCCAATCCAAATCAAAATAATATTAAATATTTTAAATATATTTCCTAATATAAATCGCAAGTAAAACGTAAAACACAATACTTAAGAATATATCAATTATATATGTCCAAACATAAAATATAAATTAAATCATAATGAAAGACAATAACACACACTCTCTTTATATATATATAATTCGGTTTTCTTAGTTTTTCAATTTTTTTTAAAAAAATCTGAAATAATTTTGATTTGATTTTTTGATTTAATCCAAATAGTTGAAAATAAACGTATTGATGAACCCACTTCTAGCAGTGGCAGAGCTATACTAGGCTGAGGGTGTCTAATTGGACGTCCTTTGTTGGAAAAGTACACCCTATGTATAAGTAAAATAATATTTTAAATGGTTAAATAATACATTTTGGACACCCTTGAACAATAATTTTTTTTTTGCCTAGTGAATTTCTGTTACTCAGCCAAAGTTGTGGCCTTTGCAACCAGTTACGTGCGGGTTCGATTGCCCTGAACCACACTTTTTTTCACATTTTCAAAAAACTCCTAATTAACTTCTAAATCATAATTAATAGATCTTTTATTTTAAAAATAATTCAAAAATAATATTATCTTAAATTAGAGACTCGCAACTTAAAAAATTAAGGGAAAGTAAAGTTTAGTAGCCAATTGATGTGATTTTTGATTTTGTTTTTCCTTACAAATTTAAATAAAATTCAAAAGTAATTATTTAATTTAAATTTAATAAGCAAATCCATTTATTATTTTTTCTATAAAGCTATTAAAAGTGATAAAGGCTCCATATAAATTTTTTTTTAATAAAACTCGTTTAATTCTACTTTTTATTTTTCATGTCTCGTTGTTAGTCATCAGAGGTTCATGAAATCTTGAAGCATAAAAGAGATTTCATTTTAAACAAAATTTTCTCTTCGTTTTTTTCTTTGTCCATTCACTTCCTATTAAATGAACATGAATATTAAAGCTAAATATTATGAAGTTTGACTTTAAATTTTTTTGGTATATCTTTTAATTAAGAAAATTAATCATTTATGTTACATAGTTTGATTTACAAAATTTTAGTGCAACCATTTATTAAATTATTTTTAATACCTATTCGATTCTTGGACACCCTTTGTGAATTTTCTGGCTATGCCACAGACTTCTAGTCTGCCAAAAGTTGAACATTACCCAAGAAAATTAAGAAAACAATATAAACGGTTTATATCTCTACCAGAGCATTGGCTAGATGTACAAGGTCTTCGTTTGAATTCACTTCATCGAAAACTTACACAATGTATATAAGATTAGTAGTATATGTTGAATTTTCTTTAACTTCTTTGTATATTTTTTATTTTTTTATTTTGGATTATCCTATTCTTCTCTGTGAAGTTGGAAAGGAATTTGTGAGAAGGCTTTGATTGGTATCACAGTTGGGGTGGGTTACTGGGTTTCTCCAAAACGTTTAAAATGAGGTCTTCAATTCCAGCTTATATTACAAGTTTGGAATTTGTTGTATGGCTGGTTGGTCCAGAAATCATTCGAAGTAGGTGTTTTGCCATGTGTTTGCTGACTTTCTTGACAAAATTGAAATGCTTGTTGAATTGCTTTCCCTCGTCTCTATTGAAAAGCGGACGACAGACATTCCAAGCTAACAAGCTGTGCCAATCCTTGGGACTTGTGCAGCCAGGGGAGAAGTTCCTACCTTCCTCTGTTTGGATTGATTTATTTTAATTTTTAAGTAGCACTTTTAAACTTTTTTTTATTAATTTCTTAAAGAATTTGGAAAGGATAAAAATATTGTAATATGGATGTTCATATTAATATATAATGTGTTGTAAGATAATTATATACACAATATGTTAAGTGGTATATACTAGTTAATCATATGATATACTTGATGCCCAAAGTATATACGTGACAAGAAAATATTCATGTATTACACTTAGTGCCCAAGTATATACAACTATATATACCCGTCTTCTGGTAACAAAAAGAAAAACAAGAGCAAGTGAAAAAAAATACTATATATACAATTTCTTATTCATCTTTCTTGTTATTTCAACATTGATATTTATTTTATAACAAAAAAATACTCCCTCCGTCCCTATTTAGTTGTCCACTTTAGAAATGACACACAGATTAAGGCAACAATGATTATCATAGTGAAGTTACAATTTTACCCTTATAGTACAATTTACTTCCAAAATAAAATCACTCAAGATAACTAATCAATGCTGAAAAGTTCATAAGTTTATTTACTTTATTTATGACAACTTTTCACTTTAAATAAGGGTATAATAGGAAAAAAATTATTGTCCTTTCTTGAATTGTCAAAATGGACAACTAAAAGAGGAAATATGAACAACTAAATAGGGACGGAGGGAGTATTATTAAGCAGCTATTTTTAGACAAGACCAAGTACAAATACTTTTTAAAAAGTTAATCCAACCCCCTACCTTGGATCATGCTCGTATTAGGTACAGAGGCGAGTCATTTAGATCAATATTAGGATTTGTTGCCTTCGATCAAGCTGTTACAAGAAAAATATCTGTGGAGGCCAAAGTCACATGCGGATCCAAAAAAATTATTTTATGAATTTCTGATTCTAAAAAAGGCAGCTTACTAGATTGTGGATAAAATATTATTACATATGCAATATTTTTAAATATAAATCTAGAATTTTGATACAAACTATTAGAGTACTTTGTTCAATTCATAACTAGAACTCGAACTCTATCAAAATTACATGAAGACCTTTTGAGACGTTGAGATGAAAATATATTTTCACTCCCATATTATTATCCCTGCATGAACTTAATTATCTGCAAATAAGAATAATATTATATTTTAAAAAAAAAAAAGACATTCCTACTTTAATCACACATACAAATTACAATGTCGGACTATATGCACATACATAGTCAAATAGTTGTATGAAAAAATAAATGAAATAATAGTCAAAATATTTTTTTGTGATTCCAACCTGTTAGCTAATTGTCTAAGGTGTAGGGCTGCTAATATAAATATATATATATATTCAACGATATAAGGCACGAGTTTCTCCCTAGTAGTGAACAGAATAGCCTAAAAATGTTGAAAATGTTGAAAACTGCCAACATCGATGTGGTTGTAGCGTGGATTTTATTGTTACACATGGAACGAAGTTGACTAAAACCTGAAATTTTCCAAACTAAAATGTTCATCACGTTACCCCAGTCCCAAAATATCCATGGATTTAAATTATAGTACCGACAGTTTAATGATTTTTTTTATATCAATAGTGTAATCTACCATGCTATCCTAGGGATAAAGTATTGGACAATTTTACTTATCCCATCATTTATATCTTGATGATGGAACAAACTATTTCATATACATGATGGAATAACTTATTTTGAAATAATTAATCACAGGATAACTTGTTCCCAATCCAACTACTCATTAAAAAATTAGTATTATGTATAGCACGTTAATGACAATGTTATTAAATAAAATTATGTACAATTATTTCTTAAAGTGATTTAATTTTGTAAATATTTTTTATACAATCGATCCATAGAATTTACATGTGTGCGATATCCCTTGGAAGTCAAACATTTATTTGGTCTTAGTCGCAATAAAGGAAACAGTGAGATTTTATCATAATTTATAGCAGGCTGCTTTGACCATTAAAATTAAAAATTAAAAGAACTAAATTTAGACCCTGCATTACTTGGAGGACAAAATTCCGCTAAATTCAATCTTTCTCAACAAGTTAGAAATTATAGCGTCTTTTATTTTTCAAAATCATGAAACTGCGTGACAAGTTCCTACTTTTGATAATTCAAATCCATCTAACGTCATATTCCTCACGTTCATTTGAATAATGCTACTATTAGCTTCCTTTAGTTTATTGTCTGGTCAAAAGCTAGCCTCCCTCAACTAGTATAAAATGGCAATGGATTACCAAATAATATACCTACCTACTAAACAATACTCAAAACAAAAGTTCTAAAAGTTTGCCATTCTCTCTCTTTTCTCTTCTTGACCAAATATGGCTATTATTACAACTAAATGCAAGAGCTTCATGATGCTGCTTCTTTTGTGCATTTCAATTAACTTTTTAGCCTCTGAAGCAAGGCCTCTTGATATCTTGAAGGTCCAAGGTTCTGACAGGGCTTTTAATTGGTTAAATATGGCTGCTATCAAGAATGGCCTTAATCTTGGAAGCAGCCATAAGTTTAACAGTCAAATATATCTCGGAATTAAGAATTCAGGTCCAAGCCCCGGAGAGGGACACAAGGTTACCACGGGCAATCATCAATAGTTGCCACAACTATAACCAACCGTGCAACTCCACTTTTGAGGGAGAGATACATATCTAATCACTCTTGGCATTCTTTTAACGAAGGGAATTTCACATTCTTAGCATATACACATTATTTCATTTTTTTTTATATTAGTAAACATATTAATTAGCACTACAACTGGCTAGCTAGGTAAATAGATGCATGTATAACGTGGTATATTTTTATATAGTACGTGATAAATGGTAGTAATGTGTATCTAATTCCTTGATGTGTATTTTCATCTACTTCTTTTCAAGTTCAAAGCCAAATACACGGACATCCAAATTTGGTTACAAGGGCAGTGAACATTAATTACCATTTCTCTTGCGTCTTTATTTTAATTTATTAGATGAGCCTTCTTTATATTATATAATATAAAGAAGTTTCAGTAGAGTCCTCGCTTTTGTAAATATATCA